GGAAAGTCGATTTTTTTATATTAAATATCTTTTGCTGCATTGTCATATTATCGAACCAAATGGACTACTTATACACTAGAATAGAGCGGCAGCATGGTGAAATTACGATAAAAAATCATTTACATTCTTATTGGAAATTGCCTTATTTTACGGCCTTTAGTTTTTTATAAGTTACAATATGTGTCCAAGCTGTGTGGACCGTACGATACAAACAAATATTCAGGCTTATAAGCCTATAATTATACATTTTTCTACATTTAATTTGAAATAGTATGCACAAACGGATTAAAAGTTGTAAATAATTAGTACCTTTTCTACTACTTTAAAATGCGTGACCGGAATAGACCTGCCGGAAAAGTGAGGTTAAGTTACTGACAAAACCTTGTTATTATTACACCATGACACATATTGATTAGTTTTTATTTATTTGTCGCATTTTAAGTGTAAATTTTCACGAATTCTGTATTTAATTGGAATATTGCAATGTTGAAAATCCGCACAACAATCTTATGAAGTTAATATAAATAAAATGGAGGAAAACTAGTTTTGCCACTCTATTAAAAATAAAATGGAGGTAAATTGATGCTGGATTATAACCCTCACTACGTAGAATTCTCTTTCTATCTTGCCAAAGAAAAGGGGTCTGAACACCTTTTGAGGGAACAAATTTCTGCATAGGCGGCCTTCGGCCGCGCTTAGGGATTATAACCCTCACTACGTACATTGCAGAGTTCTTCTTCCTGCGCAAATACCCGACTGCCGGTGAACGGATTCACAATATTTTCAAGACAAACTAATTAAATAAAGTTGTAAGTGAACAATTGAAAAATCAACCGCAAATGAAATGAATTTTAAAGTTTTATTATTTTTAATAGAGTGGCAGCACCACTTTTCCTCCATCTTATTTATACATATTAACTATACAAGCATGGCACAATTAACAGGTAGTAGCAGAAGAGCAAATGCAACCCTGCCATGTATTTTGTTGTTGCTTGAGAAACATAAAATGTCAAAACAGAAAGAAATGTAAGCACGTTCGACCAATCAAAAGCAAGCAAAAAGGATGCTAATGTATGTGTATGTGGATGTGTATATGAATGAAGTAAAGTTTGACAGTTCAGATTTTTCACGCAATAGAAAAAAATCAAAGCTGCAGCCTTGCTGCTACTACCTGTTTAATGTGCCTGATTTTCACCATCGGAATATTGCAAATAAATGCAGAATTTGGCGAAAGTGTATACTTAAAACATCAGAAATGTATAAAAATAAATAAATACGTGTCAAGTTGAGTTCATTTACTAAATTTATTTGCGTCTAATTCATCAAAACATAGTGCGAAAGATTGCAAGAGTTTTTTGCGAATAACTCTTTAATGAATTAAAAATGTTAATTTCCGGTCTCTCTCGGATTATAGTTATTGGCGTCAAGACGCGTCGATTGACACCACTTTCGATTTTTTCCGTCCATTTTGACCTGGTTCCCGTAAAGTGCACTACTTCCGTATTTTTGTACTCGATACTTTTTACTGTGATCCAAGAAGGTATCGAAAAAAAGTACTTGTATGGCGCCTGTCACACCATCAATACAGATTGCGGTATTTGGATCGCGATCCTGGATCGTGATATTTATTGAAGGTGTAGCGTCAAATATTGATGGATCGTGATATGGATCCTAATGAATTCTTAAGTATGGAAAATATTTCATTCAGCAATATGGTAGCACCGCAGTGAAATGCATTGTTTACGTACTTTGGCATCTGTCCAAATCATAAGTCATCTCTTTTAGCATGCTTAATAATAAGTTTGATCCCGTATTCCTCGGAATATATCTAGTAAAACTGTCAAAATCTAAAAATTCGCTCAAAGCGAGAGAGTAAACTGAAAAGTACGGGATTGCTTTCTAGTAAACTAGTAAAGAATGGTAACTTCTAACATCTTCAACACAACCTAAAAATTTTGCTAATAAAATTTTTCTTATTTTATAAGTAAACACTCAGCTCACACATGTAGATAACTAAAAAATACTTACAAAAAAAATTTAATTCCACTCAAACAAGTACCTAATTAAACATTTTAAAGAATGCAGTAGCAAAGTGCACTTCTTTTTTATGTACTATTTTGTTGTCAAACACACTACAGCTGATCGTTTCGACACATTTACCAGTCAAACTTAATTTGCACTTAAGTTTTGGTGAAAATGGGGTTGGTGAAATGCAAAATCTAGTTGTCAGAGCTTTTATCTTGATAAATATTGTCAGCAATTTGGTACTTTGACAGCTGAGCGATAACTTCGTGGCGGAAACATTATTGATATTTTAATATAAGCTGTTTCTATTTAAATATTTGTTATTATGTACTTGGGTGTGCAATAGCATATTTTTTTAATTTTTTAAGTGATTAGTGTGAGAATGATTTTATCAAGATAAAAAGAGCCGACGCACAAATATTGCCTTTGATAAAATTTATATCAGAAAATGACAGCTGGTAGGCAAAAACTTTTGCCTGTGGAGATGGGCCGATAGAGAAAACTGTTTTTCTCATGTTTATCTCAACTTCCAGTCCAAAGTTAAATAGCTTGGAGACTGATGTTGGATATCAACTTGAGAACCATGATTCAATAATACAAGGTTCGATAAACTGACAGTAGTCTCTCTCGCACCGCTCCCTTAGCAGTGGCACCGTGTTGCTTCTTTGCAAATTTACTTGGAAAAAGTGTAGCTTTGATGTGAAATAGACGTATAAGCTTTTGTGGAATATGTTTATTTGTATATGCATATGAAGCACATTTAACTGATGAAAACATAAATTGTTTTTAAAATGAATGGTTTTATTTTAATTTTGGGTCCTTTTGAAATTTTTTTACAGCTAAATAGCACACAAATTACGTAATTCACGTAGATATATTAACATTTCGCTCAATATTTCGTTTAAAAATGCCAGATTTCCTGCAAATACAGTAGAATTTACAAAAGGAATTTCACTACTAATTGCCTACTTTGCGTACCTTTCTACTACGATTTTCCTACCAAGGGATTTCATTCTTCCCCTTTCTCTGTCCTTCGTAAATGCAACCTTTTGTAAGGGAGTGTCAAACCGCGGCTGTCAATAATTATTTAACCTTATGTTAATGAATCATGCTTGAGAACTTTGAATTTCTCCACGGTTGTACAATTATTTTTTGGTCTTTGTTGGGTAGTGTAGTTCTAAGAGGGTGTTCACACAAGGCAATTTTACAGGCAACAAAAGTTGAATGAGAAGTTGAAAGTGAAAAATTGCCTCCCTATTCAGACGAGGCGATTTTCAATTCAACACGAATTGTTGTTTACATCATTGAAAATGAATTTAAATAGGAAAATTGTATCAATTGGCGTAAATTT